CATCTTCTCTCCCCCTCTTTCCTATTCTCTTTTTTGAAGTTTCTTCTTGTATAATTTCTTCTTCTTTTGTTTAATCCTGGGAGTGTTTTTTATTTATTAAGTCTGTCATCAATATCATAGTTTTAATTCCTTTAATGTCTTTTGGCAATGTCTCTTGTTCTCCATGTCTGTCTGAGCCTCTTTCTTCTTCCTTTAACTCCACCTCACTGGAATTTCTTTGTTCTTCAACTATCGCCATTATTTTCTTTTCCAATATTTCCAATAATTCCCTTCTTTCTTTCAACATTCCTTTTACCATTTATAATTCAAACTTAAAGTCTTTGCTTATTTCTTCCATTTTTATAATAAGTTATTAATTTTTAAAGTCTTTTATTGCAATCCTTGCCAAAAGTCTCCTTTTATCTTTATTTTCTTTGTTAATCCTTCTGTCTCTTTGTCACAATCAACACTCAACAGTCCCAGGAAATTGCATTTGTATATCCTCTTAGTAGAATTTCTCCCCTTTTTTTCAAAATTTTCAGGGTCATTATTATTTTATTTGTCTTTTATTTCATAACAGTTATAAATCCAGTAAATTTCCATATAATTTTGTAGGGAAAAAAAGTCTTTGACCATTAGATGGTGCTCTGTATCACTTTCCACTTTTTAAAGTCCTTTTCTTTTCTCTTTTAATTATATTGAACATTAATTTCCAACCATTTCCACAATTAATTTTCTTAATATTAACCAATTCCCGGCAAGTCTAGCATTGAATCCAATGCCAAATTAATGCCAATTTATATTATCTAAAGTTTATTTCATTGTAGCTTTTTATGAACCAATTTTGTTTACCTTGTATTTTCCTCTTTTTTTTTTCTGTTCGCCACTGTGTTACTCTTACGCGAGGACACTTTCTTTCTACTTCTCAGGGTTGTGAAGAAAAAATCAAGTTCTTTTATCTGGTTGCACGTTGCTCACCACTTCACCACTTCAGAGCAAAACTTAAATCCTGGCAGCTTTCTGTCTTCAGAAAGTTCCATGTGGTCAAGTTCTTTGAATGCAATCCACTAAGAAAGTGCCCAAACAGCTAGGCTAAAATGCCTAAGGAGCTGTGCAGGGCATTTTTCTCATTTGAGGTTTCTACACTTGGGAGCTGCTTCAAAAATGAAATCCCTACCTCCCCAATCTAAATTCTTTACATGATGGAAAATTCAAGATATTTAGGTGATTGATAAGAACTGTGCTTGAAAGCAAACTGGAAGTCAGTGGAGCAGATTAGATATGTAATCTATATACTGAAAATTAGCAAATGCAAATTTTGCATTTACTTAGTTTTTGGCTCTTATGGCCTTGCTGGAGAACTTGAGGAAGATGGAAATCCAGCACATTCCCAGGATTCCTTATTCACATTCATAGCTGTCTTCTCAGACATTCAGTCCTTACTCCTTAGGCAGAGGCAGTTAATGAAGACTTGGGAGCAAAGAGCTGAACTTCACAGATCTGAGAGAGTAGCTAAAAGGAATGGAAGTGCAAGCAGGGAGCAGTTTCGGTATCCCGTGTGATGTGTCTCAGCTGCACACCAGCTGGAAACTGAAGTGGCTTATTTATTGCATTTCTTCTCTCTTTAAAACACTGAGAATAAACTGAGGGCAGAGCTGGCGTCGCAACAATACAGCATGCGATCTTGGAGGTCTGAGATAGCTACCGATATCTTTGCTCCTGGACGGTCCTATCGGATCTAAACCGTCCCGAAGAGACGGTGAAAGTGAAGAGCGCATCCTCCAATAAAATCTGTTCAAAAAAAAGAAAGAAAGTGAAGAGCGCATCCTGTTGATCCCAGGGATACCGCAAAGTCCCTGGTAGATCCAGGAGAAGCTCTTTTTGCCAGCGGTAAAGAGTCAGCCATTAAAGCTGCTGAAGTTGGGACAGCTCTGAAACGAAAGAGAAGGGAAAGAGAGAGTGTGCCGGTTTGGTGAGAACTTTTTCTTTATTCTAAGATCTGAAAGGACACCCTAAGGAAAAGAAAGAATCTATAAAAGTTTTGACAGAAGTGATTAAGCGGTGATTTTAAACAGGAATGTCAAAGTAATGTTTTTTTCTCACTGCTGGATTTTCTATACATGATCTTATATTTTGAAACTGGACTGGTTTTTTCTTTTCCATCTATTTTTTTTCTCCTTTTTGATTTTGTAACATTTTAGGCTAGAGACTCCCTTTTAGTTATTTCTTTTTTTAAATATCTTTTTCTTTTTTTATTAATTCTTATTATATTTTGCTTGGAAAAGGAGGGGGCAAGTGAAAGCAAAGAAACTTTGTAACGCTGCCAACTAGAGGCTTGGAAATATCCTATTTCTCCTGTGACCAGACAAAGCTGAGAAAGAAAGAACTGAGACTTTTTTTCAAGGACGTTGCTATTTGATAAGATAGAGGGAAGAGCATGGGAGAGTATTATTGCAGGTGCTCTTCTGGGTTTCTATCAACAGCTGGAGTCTGGTGTTGAAACTTAGGGGGGGGGAAAGGTGATACGCTTTTAGAGAAGAGAGTTATAATAAGAGCCTTGGATAATTAAACAAAGTGCAGTGTGCTCTTTTTACTTTTTCTAAGTTGTGCTATCCCTCTTCACCAGCTTTATTTTATTTCATTTTGTCTTTTTTTTTTTTTTTGCAATAGCTATTTGGATCTTTGGCTTTGTTGGAGCTTGTCTTTGTTTTTTTCTTTCTTTGGAAGTCCAATCTCTACGCTTGCTTTTTATTTTAAAGGGGAAGCTTTAGTATTAATGTTTCCTTTTTCTAAGGGAATAGCCTTTTTTTCTCCTTTGTTTTTTCATCTACCTTTCTGGTTTATTTTTATGCACTCGAACTACAATTGGTTATTTCACAATTGGATTAAGGTTTAGAAGAACCTGAAGATTTTGAATTGCTTAAAATGAGTAGGAAATTTACAGCTCCTGGTTCTTCAACTTCTACTTCTTCCTCTCCACCATCTGGAGAACAATGTTCAATACAGACAATGTTAAAGCAAGAAAAAGTGACTCTGCAGATGATTATGCAAGGAATTCAAAATATTCAAGCAAGATCAGAGAATATTAAAAGAGAATAGAGAACATTGAACAAAGAACAGAGAACATTGAACAAAGAACAGAGAACATTGAACAAAGAACAGAGAACATTGAATAAAGAACAGGGAAAACCGTTGAAAAAGTGGAGAACATCCAACAAATGATGTTGAAGTATGATGAGAGATTCCAAAAAATTGAAGAAGAAGATAAACAAAGAGACAAGAAGATTGGAGATATTGATAATAGATTAACGGTGGTTGAACAAGATAAAAGTGGTATGTTGAGATGGGAGATGGATAGATCAGAATTCTATCTTAGATTCCAAAACGTAGAGGAACAAAAAGGACAAAACTTAGCTGAGATAATGATAGAGATACTGGCTGAAGCTTTGGAAATAACTCAAGAGAAGATGATGGATGGAATAGATGAGGTTTATCGAGTTTTCACAAGATATGTGATGAGAAATAGCTTACCAAGAGAAGTTCACATTAGATTTACAAAGAAAGCCATTAAAACGCAAATATTGCAAATGGCAAAAAAGAAAACATTGAAATATAAAGACAAGGAGATTGTGGTCTTGAAGCAAATACCCAGAAGAGTGAGAGAGATGAGAAGAGAATACCGATTCCTGACTAAAATGCTACTTTAAAAAGAGGGCTACTTAAAAAAGAGGGCTGATTCCAGAAGGTTTAATATTCACATGGCAAGAACAGAGACATAGAATTGACTCAATTGAGAAAGTGGAATTATTTTATACAGAATTTTTTGGAGGGAAAGAGGAAGAGGCAGAAAAAGAAATCTCACTAATTGAATTCCAAGAGGACTGCCAAATGGCGATTGAAAAAGAAGAAGGTGCAGTAGGTGGAAAGATGGAAGCCAAAGAACAACAGGAACTAAGATCTACGAGAGCTGCTAAACCTAACTACAAAATATAACCATGGAAGAGAAAAAACTGATTACAATTAATATAAATGGACTTTACATAAATTTACATCAGGCAGTATTTTATCAAGAAACTGTGTCTCTCCACCATTACGGGATAAGAAGTCAGCCAAAAGTTGGCTGTTGCTTAGCTCTGGATGTTGTGAAAGTTTCTGTGAGGAAAACAAAAAGGTAGACTCTAATGACCTTCTCTTTAGCAAAGACAATTTAAACTCTTAATAAGTAAATTATGCCGAGAAAAGATAGATTACTGCAAAGCAGTCTAGATGGGGCTGCCCTTGAAAACCACTTGGTTCAGAATACAGCATTGCGCACAGTAATGGAGGCCCTTGTTTGTCCATGTAACACCTGTTATGTGAATTGTACCGGCTGCCAGTTTCATTCCAGATGCAATGCAAGGTGCTGTTCATCACCTTTAAAGTCCTAAATGGCACCTGGCAGGGATATCTGCAAGGCTGCCTTTCCCTATAAGGACATCCACCCATCCTATCAGGCCAGATAGGGTGGGCATCTTCCTTGTCGCTTCCCCCAAATATTATGATCCGATGGGAGCTAGGAGGGTTTCATGGCAGCCTCTGCCTTATGGAACACTCTGCTGCCTGAAGTTCAGCAGGCCTCTACCCTCCTGGTCTTCCGAAAAGCTTTGAAGACCTGTCCTTTCCCTCCCCCAAGCGTTTCCCCCACATAAGATGACAGCACATTAGCACTGACTAGCACCGGATTTCTGTTGTTTTTAATGTTTTATAATTTCACTGGCTGAGTTTTATAGTTTTTAAAATGATTTTATAATTTTTTTAATTTTTGATTGGGAGCTGCCCAGAGTTGGTTGAAAGGTGGGCAGCTATAGAAGTGTAATCTGTCAATCAATCCATCAATCAGGTACATCAGACAATTGTGTATTAGGAAATATACATAATTCCATTGATTTATAAATACAAAAAGATATTTTCTCCTACCTGAAGGTATTCTTGAAATTCTTCTCTCTTTGATTTTAGGAATTCGTAATTCTTTGGTCCAATAATCTTGGAGGGAAGCTAAGCATCAGGGAATGCACCTGGTTATACAATAAAATTTAAATGTGTTGAAAGTTCATTTTCACTTATGTGGCTTTTTGCTGCCCGCACCCTGGCGACGGCAGGGTCTGAGTTCAGAGCCCTGGGCCTCTCATGGTAAATAAATAAACACACGGACACAATGTTTACTCGGGATGAAGGCACTTGAACAAAGGGCAGGTACCTCCTTTTATTAGGTTGCTTGCAAGCGTCATAGCAGGAACAAGGAAATTTTCCTTATAAGGTAATCTACATAATTATGCTAATGCAAAAACTATACCATTGCTGGGGTCTTATCACCTCCACTCTTAGCCCTGCCCAATTACTTTCTTTTCCCATATAACTTTCGTTTCTTCAGCCAGTATTTTTCCCACACAGTCAGCACTTTATCACATAGCAACACCAAACTGTCCATCCAGCACTTCTACAAGGTTGACCATTGCAACATTAAGCGTCCATTTATTGTTGTATATTGCAACACACTTACACAAGCCTAAAGAATGTTACTGATACACAATAATATCCCCAGAAATAGGTGGTAGAGAAAGCATACCATGAAATTCTGTTAGCTTTGATTCAAGCAGATAAAATTCAAGATATCTTCTATAGACCGACCAGTGCTCAGGTTTATGCCCAACTGAAAATAAAGAGACAAAATTATCATTTTTTATTTGTCCAGAATACAGGCAATCCCCGGGTTATGAGTGTTCTCTTAGTGAACATTCAAAGTTACACAATAAGTGCCCCCTAGCTTTCCGAACAAGTCCCAAACTTATGAATATTGCAGCACCATGGCAGTTGTTTGCTCTTACAAACGACCGCAGAGGCTCTGCAACATTCACCCTGCCTAAACTGTCTCTCTCCCCCCAACCGGGAAGGGTCTTCACAGGCACTCCGCTTGTGGAGACTCACTTACCTTGTGAAGATCTCCTATCTGTCACTTTTTTTTGCCTGCTTCATTGCTTCAGGATTTTGATGCATTCACAAAGAACAGAGGCCTAATGTACCACAAGGTCATGCAAGATCATTAGCGCAAGATCTCATGCTACTGATCTCATGTGATCACGCACTTTAGGCCTCTATTCTCTGCAAATTGAGGCCTGGACATTTGCAAACAGAGGGAAGGCCTCAATCCTTCAGCCCTCCATTTGCTGTTTCCTTGCTGAAGCTGCAGGGAGATTGCGTTCTGATAGGTTTTGGCAGCTCTTTGCAAAAAGTGTTTGTTGGCATCAGGAGTGGGCATGTCCCTCTGAATCTCTGTTCCTATTGGCAAAGGCTTTTTGAAAAAGGCTGAATGAAGCCTAAAGGGATGCAATTCTCAAGCACTTTGATGATGAGAAAGGAAGCCCAGTGGGCTGCATGCAGCCTTCCAGGCCTCCTTTCTCACCAGCAATTTGCTTGATGAGGCCTCTGGCAATGAAAAAGGAGGCCTGGAAGGCCCTCCAGGCCTCCTTTTTTGTCACCAGAAGCCTCATCAAACCCTTTGATGACAAGAAAGGAGGAAGCAGGCAAAGAAACAGGCTGGAGAGGAGACAGATCTTCATAAGGTAAGTCACCCAGCGTGGCAGGATGGAAGGGGGGAGGATGGGCGAAAGCAATCACGGGGACCCCAGGGGAGGGAGAATGAAATATCTGTGGATTGGGGAAAATCTTGGTTGGTCTAAAGTAGGTGGCCTGTTCCATCATTAGTCCCCCTCCCAATGGCTGTCCCTACCCGAGATACAACATGTACACTTAACAAGCCGCATAGTCAATTATCAAATGCGTGGATGACAGCAGGGAGTGATCTTGTTCAATGTACGAGATTCACTCCAATGAATCCTCAGGTTACAAATGGAATGGGCAGGCTCCATGACATTCATAACTCGAGAACTACCTGTAAAAGAATTTTACATGGAAACATATTTCTAACAGAACTAAGATCAAGTCTTCAATCGTATTTTAACCTCACACTTTTCAAACTTATTAAAAGCTTTTATTAGCAATCATAATTGTCATTATTAAAGTAAACAGTCTTGTTATCAAGTTTGACTATGGGGATTTCAGAATTCATCCAAGTAGTTAAACTAGAAAGCAATATGGAAATGGTTTGCCCCTGCCTTTTTCTGAGGGTTCCTCCCCAACTTCCCATTCTAGTCAATAACCCTGGCATTTCCTGGTAGTCCATCAACCAAGAATTAACAAGTCTTATTTACTTTTTTGGGATCAAACTGTTCTGTCTGTGCACTAACATCTGATGTAGCATTTTAAAATAAAATGTCAAATGTACTCTCCTAAGACTGCAGGAAACAAAACTGACTGCATTTTATCTGCAGATGTCTTTCTCTCTTCACAGATGATGAGAAAACAATTTCTGGACACCACTCTTGTTAGGGAAAGGTACTGTACAGGGAAATATATGAAGGTATACACCAGAGGTGCTGTTATGCAGTATGCCAGAGGACTTGGGAAATGTCCTTAGCATGGACAAATGGATCACAAATGTGAGGCCTACCAAGCAGTGGTGGGATTCAAAATTGTTTACTACCAGTTCTGTGGGCGTGACTTATTTGGTGGGCATAGCCTAGGGTCATGTGACTGGGTGAGTGTGGCTTAGTGGCCATGTGACTGGGTGGGTGTGGTTTGGTGATCATGTGACTGGGTGGGCGTAGCTTGGTGGTCACATGACTGGCGGGTGTATGGCTCAGTGGTCATGTGACTGGGTGGGTGTGGCCAACTCAATGTCACTCACGTCAAGGGGTGCCTCGCCTGGCCTCTCCCCTCCCAGCCATTCCTTGTCATACCCAGCCTCAACATATCTATAGTTCTGTAAAAATGATGTTCACCTTTTTTTGATTTTATTATCTATGTACTATAGATGTACTTTCATGGACCACTGAAAGGAGGAAATGGCTCACATGCTTTGCCCAAGAGTGTGGCAACAGGCTTTTAAGGGGCTGCCATAAAGAGGGGGGGGACAATGTATTTTCCAAAGCACCAGAAGAATGAAAACTGAACAAAGAGAAAAGCAACATAAAAGTAAGGAGACACTTCCTGACAGTGAGAACAATTAACCGGGGGAACTGCTTGTCTCCAGAAGTTTTGAGTGCTCAATCACTGGAAGTTTTTAAGAAAAGATTGAACAGCCATTTCTCTGAAATGGTATTGAGCTCCCACCAAGGTCCCTTCTAAGTGTTATTCTGTTATTCTGACACCTTTCCCAGGACCTCTATTCAGAGTTTGGCATCCTCAAAATTTTCCTGCCTGAGCAGTGGGTTGGAGTAGAATACCTCCCTAGTCCCTTTCAACTCTGTTAAATACACCTGTATTTATATTAAATACACCTGTTAAATACACCTGTATTTATGTTCTGGACTATACACATACAATGCATGTAAACCCTGAAAAATAGGCAGTAAAGGCAAATAGGCAAAAGAAGGCAGTAAAATCACTCTAGGTATATGGACAGTGTAAAATATTAATATATGATAACTAGTGGAACAATTAAAAATAGCACAGTTTTCTCTCTCCCTATTTCTTTTTCTTTCTCTCTCTCTCTCTTCCTATTTTTCTTTCTTTCTTTCTGTTTCTTCCTCTTTCTTTCTTTCTTTCTTTCTTTCCCTTCCTCTTTCTTGCTTTCCTTTTTCTTTCTCTTCCTTTCTTTCTTTCTTTCTCTTCCTTCCTTCCTTCCTTCCTTCCTTCCTTCCTTCCTTCCTTCCTT